CTGGTGGCTTGGGGAGTTAGGAAGTCAGCCACCTGCTTGGGCATCACCAAGTGAAGGGCGTCTGGTGCCCTGGCAGGAAACGGCGGTGACCACGGTGGAAAGGGCACAGCTCACCACCCAGGACCCACCCCAGGTGACTCGGGCCTTGGCTCACCTCTGTTCTTCAGCCAACAGGTCTGTACCAGGTGCCAGGTACCATGCCTGAATGTGGGGACCTCATGCCCTCCCACACAACCATGGGGGGACCCAGCAGGGTTGGGGGTGGGGAGTGCTCTCTGCCCACCACATGGTTTCAGTCTCTTCCCAAACTCGGAGGCCAGGGGAAATTTTTTTGGTAAACATTTACAGGAGGCCCAGAAAGGATCGGTGACTTGGGGAGTGTCAGAACACCACGGCGTTTATAGGGAATAATGAAGACACAAAGGTGGGCGTAGGTAAACCCGGTCAGAGGAGACTCCGTGGACGGGGTGACGGGCACCCACGGGACAGGAAGTCAGGGCAGAAGGGCCAGCATGTCCCATATGGGAGTCGGAAGGAATACTGCATTTGGGGGAATGGTTCTCAAACCCAAACTCAAGGTCCCAAACACACGTTTGTGTCCTGTGGGGCGCCTTTAAGGAGACTCCCTGGTTAGGGGCCTCAAACAACAAAACAAACAAAAAACCACTGCCTGGGGCTTATCTAGGCCCAATCACTCCTAATCTCCAGCACCTTCACTCGGACACATTAAAGACACCCCCCAGGTGATTCTACCACCAGGAGGGCCACGGGGCTCCGCGCACCTGATGCGTGAGCCCAGACAGATGTACGCTGTTAAACACATGACACATGGAAGACTCAGGAGGAAAAAAACGTAGAAGATCCCATTCCTAATTTTTGCAGCGATTACATACTGAAAGGGTTAGAATTTGGGAACGCTGGGGTCAGCAAAATACACGGTTAGGATGACCCCCACCTGTGTCTGCGTGTTTGCCCTGTGGCTACAGGGAAATCTCAAATTACACATGAGCCGTGTGTTCCGTTTCTACGGGCCAGTGTCGCTCTAACGTGAGCCAGCGCTGACAAGTCCCGGACGTCAAAAAACATTACTCTTCACAAGATTTCGATTCCCCGGAGGGTGCTGAAGGGATGTGTCACCGACCGGGAAAACGGGCCCTATGAACTGTTTTCAACCTGCTCTGCCCTCCTCACCCCTGCACGGGGGGGGGGGGGGGTCCTCCTCAATGGAAAACCCTAACACCTGGGTAGTCTCGCCTCTCTAATGAGCGCCCGCCCACTGGCCTTGGCTTCCCGAGCAGCGCGGCCCGCTCTCTGTCCTGGCCTGAAAAGCTTTCGGGCTCGGTGTCTCTATCTTGCAGGGGAAACCGAGCCAGAGAAGCACAAATACTGCTAGATAAGGAAAAAGCAAGTCTGACATTCAGCATTTCCACGACTCCTATCTGCTGAGTCCTCATCTGTGATATGCCTCAAAGATGGGTCTCTGCTCTAGTTGAAGTTCTGGAAAGAGCTCTCAGAGGGTAAAGCTTGTGGTGGGTGGGGAAGAAGGGAGAGCGACGGCTGGCTACCTGCAGAGCACCGGACCGCGCGTTTTGTACTCTGGGTGTATCAGCCGCCTGGGACCGCTGCCACAGCTCACCCCAAACCAAAAGCACCTTCAACCAACACACACTGCGATCATCTTACGGTTCCGGAGATCAGAAGTCCAAGACCGGTCTTCCGGAGGTGCCAGCAGTGCGTCATGTCTTTCTAGAGGCTCCACGGACAGCTCCATTCCTTGCCTTGTCCACCGTCTACGGGACGTCCCCCTTCTTTGCTGAAGGGCCCCTTTTCCCACCTCAAAGCCAGTTCCTCCTTGCAGACCCCTCCTCTGACCTCACCACAGGTCAAAGGCCCTAGGAATACACTGGGCCCACCTGACAAACCCAGGAGAATCGGCCTATTTTAAGGTCAGCTGATTAGCATTTTCTTACCAAGTATGATAAGGTATTCACAGGTTCCAGGAATTAGGATGGGGCCACCTTTGAGGCCCCGCCTGTCACACAGTGTTTCTCTGTACCTCAGAGCAGCCATTGGGGGCAGCTGGAATGAATCTGTTTTTACAGGTGAGGAAACAGACTCAGGAGTTAAGCAACTTGCCCAAGGGCACAGGCTAGCAGCACTCAGGTCCACCTGCCTGTAAGCCATTCCCATGACACACCATCTGTTTTTTAACGGTATGGCTAGTTTTGGGTTCAAAGTGCAAATATAATGCATTCTACAGCATTCTGTACTCAGAATGTTACACCAATGAAAAGTCAACACTATTGTGCCATCTCCATTCTGAAAAGGGGTTTTATCACCAAAAGGACCAAAGTCGTGGGGAAGAACAGACCAACTTTCCAGAGGCCCCCTCTGGGATTACACAAACACACACCATGCAACCATCCCAAGGACCGGTTACACAAAGGAAGCGTGGCTGCTCTCCCTTAGCACTCCCGACTGGGGTGGGGAACGGACCTTTGCAAAAACGGGGTGTGGCCTGCCGAGAAAACTAATGTGGAAGTATTTTTCGCGCCCCCCCCAACTCCCCCAGCTCTGGATCCAGGAGCCCAAGGAGAAAGGCGAGGCTGAATGATGCCAAGGACAAGTTCTAAAGCAAGCCAAAGTGCTCCCCCCGCAACACAGGGCACGGGAGTCAACGTGAAGACAGAAGCAGCGTATTCCGAAGGGAAGATGGGTCCGAGAATTGGATGTGCTATTTTCTGTAAGCTCTCTGGGTCCTTTCCACCAATGGGACCTCACTGGCAACTCACTAGTTATTTCTGGGAGCGAGCTAATTAAATATTAACGATGTACAAAATCTTTATCCTCCATCCCTCAATAAGTCATTCTGAAGACAAGCAAATCTAGAGGCTGAACCCAAACCCCATCTATCCAGAAAAAAGGGGGGGGCGGTTAGGGATGGTAAATCCTATGAGATTCACCTGTTACAAAGTTATTCATTATCAAGTAACCCTCTCAGCCCTGTAGAAAAACAAAAACAAGGGACCCTTGGGTGGCTCAGTTGGTTAGACGGCTGCCTTCGGCTCGGGTCATGATCCCAGCGTCGTGGGATCGGGTCCCGCATCGGGCTCCTTGCTCAGCGGGGAGCCTGCTTCTCCATCTGCCTCTGCTCACTCTCCCTGACAAATAAATAAATGAAATCTTAAAACAAAAACAAAAACAAAAACAAAAACAAGCAAAAAAAAAAAAAAAACCCACACCTGTTTACCAAACCAACCACTAAAATGTATGGATCTAGATCAGAGATACTTTGTCTTTCATATTAAAGAAGGTTGCCCTTGATTTATAATAGAAGAGTAAGATTAGTGAAATGGGCCCTTTAAATTTCATCTCTGTGTATCAATCAGACCTCTTTATACCTCCTCAAAAGCCAGGCGGGGGACGGGGGACCCTAAAAACAGTGAATAAAGCTCTGACAACACCCAGATTCTCTCTGCCAACTAAATTTTCCTCTCCATCCTTGCACAATCTCCTGCCACAATTAATTATGTATTAATGCCTTTAAATTAAATGCCACATTTGTTTTGATGATGGGCTATCCAGGCTGAAAATAGGCCAGATGAGGAGGATCACGAGGACAAATTAATAATTTTCAGATGGGTTGGTTCCAACCCTTGGCTTTCATAAAGCCTCGATGTTCCAAAATATCATTATCGTTTTCACTGCTAATGGTAAGCACAAAGGTTAGGAGGTCCCGTTGAGTTTTCCTTATTTCAAAATGAAAGCTGTTGTAGAGAGCGGGTAGATAACTCGGTTTGAAAGCAACCGCGGAAGTCCCTGCTATGGGCAGGGACAGGTGGGAAGGAACTTGCTACAGCAAGCCGCCACAAATGTCACCATTCGGCTTCAGACAGGAGGGGTCCTTTTGGCTTCCTTTATTTCTAAAGTAAAATTGTTCTGCTATTTCGGTCTTGGGTGACTTACTCTGGCAAACAACCGAGCGCGCTCTCCCCTCCCCCCAGGCAGACGAACACCTTAATATTTGTAAAATAAAAAGGAACAGAAAACTAGAGGCAGAGCGGCGACTGCGATCTGTGTTCTCGGCAGGAACACATGCACCAACACACACCCGCGCCATTGCTGAATTTTCAAAATAACCTTCCCAGGATAGGCGCGTGGGAAGCGCAGGAAGGGAGCCCGAGGAAGTTTCTGTCTGTCAGGCGCCCGTGTTTAATAAGGGGGGTGTGAACCTATTTATACGTGGGCCAGCGCTCAGGCAAACAAGTCTGGCTACATACGTGAAACTTTTCGCCCGGCGTATAATAAGATATTGTGCGGCCCTGGAAAACAGCTCCGGCGAAGAGGAAACTGGGAGTTTCCTTCAAGGAAACGCTCTGCTTCCCGAGGTGGGAGCTTTTTTCGCACGGCCTGGAAGGTGGTGGCAGGAGCCCGGCTGCTGGGGCCGGGGAGGGACGGCGCGGCCGGGACAGAGGAATCCAGGCAGGCCCCGCCGGGAGGCGCACCTAGGCCCGGGCACACCTGACCCCACCTGGCTCATCGCTGCATCCTCCCCCGCCCCGAACCTGGGTCGCCCGCCACCTCGCTCCCGGGCCACCTCTATCCCCACCGCCTGGGTCGCCCGCCACCTCGCCCCCTCCCGGCGACCTCGGCCCCTTCCTCCTGGGTCGCCTTCCACCTCGGCCTCCCGGCCACCTTCGCTCCCCCTCCACCTCGCTCCCGGGTCACCTCGGTCCCCTCCAGCTGGGTCGCCCGTCGCCTCGTTCCCAAGCCAGCCGCCTCCCCCCACACCCCGGCACCCCGCCACCTCAGTCCCTCGGCGGCCTCTCGGCCCCGTCACTCGCGCGCGCGCTTCCGGTTCACCTGCGCGCGGGGCGGCCCGGGGGGCGGCGGCCCGGGCGCAAGGTGGCCGGTGGCGGCCGGAGCCCGGGAGCCGAGGAGGCGCGCGCCGGCCAGGCCCCGAGGGGCGCCCCCCGCCCGCCCGCGGCCCCGCCGCTCGCCTGGGTCTTGTCGAACTGCTCGCGCTCGGCCTCCAGGCTATGGCCCGGCCTGCGGCTCAGCACCCGCGCCGGCACGCTCTTGATGCTGTTCATCCTGCCGCCGCCGCCGCTCAAGCTCCCGGCCCGGCTCCGCGCGACTGAGCGTCACCGCTGCCCGCCCCAGCCTAGGCACCGCGAGGCCGCCGCACGGCGCCCGGCCGCCCCGCCCCTGCACGCGGGGGCGGGGGGAACCTCCCCCTCGCCCGCCCCGCCCCCGCCCCGGGCCCGCCCCTCGATGGGCGGAGCCCCGGCCGAGGTCCCCAGCCCCTCCACACCTCTGCCTACCTCCCTGGGCCAAGTCTCTTGCCCACCTCCACACCCCGGACGCACAAAGTCCTTTCTACACCAGAGGAGGATCTGGCTAACTGGAGAAAACTTGGCCTCAATGAATCTGAACAATAGAATCACAACTAGACTTTTTTTTTCCTTTTTAGTCTTAGTTTATGTGTGAAAATGCATACAAGTAAGCCGTCCCCTTTGCGCTATCTCTAACCTAACAGCAGCTCTCTTCCATGCGGGGCCGTGGGATGAATCTTCGGAGGCTGCAGGCTCCGCATGCGGACACCTTGCCAGAGCCGAGGCACGGCGAGGGGAAAGAGGACAGGCAGGGCCCGGACAACCTGCAGACAGAGCTGAACACAACACAGGGCTGGGCCATCAAAGCGTATCGTTAACGACGCCGCAGGAGGTCGTGGGAGTCTTTAAAAAACATTGTTATTATTGGTTTCCTTTTTAAATTATCCGTCACAAGACTGAAGTAAAAGAATACATAATGTTTTATATATTTTTTATATTTATAAATATATTTTTATATATTTTATATATATTTATATACATATATCTATACAATCAATCACAGTTCTCCCAAATGTATGCTATCAAATAATTTTTTTTTGCTGTCCTCAGTTTTTTTCTCAAAATATAGGTGTGAAATTGCCCAATACATGTACTAAAGACCCCCCTTGAAGAGGAAGTGTGATGCCTGAAGATGGTCTCCCCTTCTGTAACTTCATGGATTAATCTTGTCTTGCCCCCAGATGGACACTGGATACTTGAAAAGCTGTATCTGACCAGGTTCTTTTGACTCTACCAAAAGGAAATGAACCATGCTATATCTAATTCCAATCCCCGAAGGATCTCTCTACCAGAATAACAATGGCTAATGTTTATCGATTGCTTATTATTTGCCAGACACTGAGCTAAGTCCTTCATATATACTGTTTCATTTTTAATCCCCAGCTCCCCGGTCAAGAGCTGTGGCTTGGTGGCTCCAGACCAGCTGTTTCTCAGACTCTTTTTCCACATTGAACAAAACCAAGTTATCCCATGAACTTCATACTTAACACAGCACCTTCTTTCAAACCAGGCAACAACCTCTCTGGGTTGAGAACATCTGCCCCGGTGATTTAACATTAGCAACCAACTACCTCTCTCTTTTTTTTTTTTTTTTTTTAAGATTTTATTTATTTATTTGACAGAGATCACAAGTAGGCAGAGAGACAGGAGGAAGCAGGCTTCCTGCTGAGCAGAGAGCCCAATGCGGGGCTCGATCCCAGATCCCTGGAATCATGACCTGAGCCAAAGGCAGAGGCTTTAACCCACTGAGCCACCCAGGCGCCCCAACTACCTCTCTTTTTAATAATAGTTGATTATTGGGGTCCGAGAGCACTTGGCTAAAATATCTCTAGTGACTTATAACGCATCTGCTTGTATGGAAGCTTTTGAGCCCCTGGAGGCAAGGACCACACCATCTTACTCCGTTTTATGATCTCCGTGCCTAGCAGAGTGCCTGGCACATTAGCAATGTTCAATAAATGTGTGAAATGCAAGGTTGAAAAAGTGAGTAAATAATCTGCTGTAATTTAGTACACTTCAACACATGGCTTAGTTTTATAAAACGAGCAGCCGGGACACGAGGATGTAAGCTTCCCCACTCTGAATTTGTCCAGGTTCATTGCTGGTACCACCTCCAGGCAGGAGACCCAGTTCTAGCACTGGCTCTGTCACTGGTGGGCTGAGATTCTCCATGTCATCAGAATCAGGGTGCCATTTTGGTCTATCTCCAGGGCTGTTTCATGCTTCCCAAAGGCTATTACAAAGGCAGAGGATTTGGGTTATGAACACCTCATTTAAAGGAAAACCCAAGAAAGATAAACAGTATTTAGGTCATTGGGTTAACTAGATGATGGAGCTGCCATGCCCACACTGCCTCGCTGACGTGTATCACTGGCCCCAACCTCTCTGTCCAGCTTCATCTTGCGCCATCCTCATCCATCAGGTCTGAAAATGCATCATGCTCCTTTCCACCTCAGGGCCTTTGCGTATGCTGTTACCATTCTGAGGAATGCTCTTCCTCTTCCTGTTTGCTGGTTAGCATCTACTTATCTTTCAGCTTTTAGTTCAGGGAAGCCTTCCCTGAAGCCTCCGCCTTTGACCTATGCCCCTGATGTATGTTGTCACAGTAGCTCCGAGCTTTATTTCATAGCACTTAACCAGTTTTTCATGACCTATTTGTGATTATTTAATTAAGGTCTGTCTCCTTCACTGTAAACAAGCAGTCTGCTTTGCTCACTGTTGTGTCTCCAGTGGCCAGCAAAGCAGTACTTACTGTGGGCTCAAATTATTTTTTTTGTTAGATGTCCTAAGTGTGCACTTGGCTGAGAACCCAGAAATCATCCTTTATGGGACTGACTGAAGTGCCCTCCTCATCTGATAAACTCCTCTCAAAGACCACTCTGGTTCTGAACCTACCTTGTCTGCTGTGGTCCTGATTAATGTGTCTGGTTTCTTCATCTGAACCAACCTTACCCCACAAAGCTTCTGAATACCAGGCTTTTTCTACTACAACTTTTTTTTTTTTTAATGATTTTATTTATTTATTTGACAGAGAGAGAGAGATCACAAGTAGGCAGAGAGGCAGGCAGAGAGAGAGGAGGAAGCAGGCTCCCCGCGGAGCAGAGAGCCCGATGCGGGGCTCGATCCCAAGACCCTGAGATCATGACCTGAGCCGAAGGCAGAGGTTTAACCCACTGAGCCACCCAGGCGCCCCTCTACTACAACTTTTAAGGTAAAACTGTTGTCAGTGTTCACATATGGATTCAGAATTTCTTTCTTTGGGGGTATTTCTGTTTCTCTTTAGAAGATCTGTCTAAGATCTGTCTACAAATTCTGAAAGCACCCTTACACCAGTCTCTTCCGATGGCTGAGGTAATTTCTGGTGGGGGAGTTACAGTACCATTCTTAAGACAGAAGAATGCCGATGACAAAATATAGCAGCTCAGTTTTCTCTCCCAACTCTTTCAGACAGACTGAGGGCTGACTCTTCCTAACAGAAACTGCTCACATATTTAAGTAACTTTCGGATGAGACAGATAAGCTGCTAATAATATTAAGATTCCCCAGTTTTTAGTTACATGTGCTATAATTCAAAATAACATGGTGGGGTGAGATGGGTACTGTAGATACAATAATCCTATGAGCTCAAATACATTTACCCACAAAATAATTTTTGACCTTTTTCATTCTTTGGCTTCCTGAAATTTTCCTACTTATTAGCATCTCATCAGTGTTCTACTTCTCTTTTCCCTGGGCAAGCTGGCATGCAGCCACGAACCCAGCATAAAGAGGAGAAATTTTCATATTTTGTATCTCAGACTGGAAATGAGCCTCTCCGGGGACATTTTAGGTTTCCAACAGCTCAGAATCAACTGCACCTTTCTCAGACTTCCTCTGCCCGAACCGGCCGTGCCTGAGGGAGAAAGCAAGCATTTATAAAGAACAGAGCCAAACCTCACCCAATTTCCCTTTTCAGCACCCTAATTAAAAAGGCTAAATGGGGTGGCTCCTCCACTCTCTTGAAAATCATCTCTGAAGTACCACTGAAGCCTTTCAACAAAGGGGCATTTATACAGCACAACAGAACCTTGATATCTGCAATGCTTAGGAGAAAAAATACATTCCCATTCCCGAGGAAATTAACTCGCCAGGTTCGGTTTCAGCGACTAACCTTCCTTATTTTGCTCCTGTATAATAAAAAGAAACCCGAGAAAATTCTTCTTTATTATTAAAAATATTTTTTATTGAATGAAGCTGATCAATTCTCTTACAAGGGACAGAAATGCACACAGTATATTCTTTAAAAAATTAAATTATAAGTTAAAAGGGAAGTGTTTTAGTCTCTAATGATAAAAAAAAATGCATATAAAACCTGATCTTCCAACAAGCTTTTGTTTGTGTAAGTAGATGGGACCTACTACAGACCCAGATGAGATGGGGCTCTGTTCAGCTCTGGGACAGAAGGACCTCAATTGTCAGTAACTGAGGAGATACTTTACAATTAAAAATATTTTGTATCATATATCATTTTATGTTTATCCTACACAGCAAAATCCAGGGGTAAAGCCACCAGTGAAGAGAATACTACTTCTCATAGATTTGCAGCTGACTCTGATGAGCTGTTGGTTATAATTTAAATGTATGCACAGTTTTTTTTTTAAAAGCAGATAGTTAAAACAGCATTTTACATGCAGGGGTTCTCTATTTGATGTCCACACCTTTAAAGAGCTTCTCTGGTATTTAACTGCAGTCTGCATCTTTACAGAGAAGTCCTTTTCTCTCTGAGCAGAATTCCAAGTTTGTATATAGAGAATACACAGTAAGGTCTAATTTCTTACACATTAAAAAAAAAAAAAAATGTCCTCAACATGAAAACAGTCAACTTGAAAACAAACAAAATATAGATGTTAAAAAATTAGCTTTCAGTTTCTGCTTCCCTTTGGTATTAAATGTTGCTTACAAAGGACTACAATCCCCTTTTTGCTTTCAAGGTTAAGTATTAGGTATTGATGTCTGCTTCCTGCCTTCCAAAGATGAGAAATCAGCTTCTGCGGGAAGGAAACACAGAGTTAAAAAAATCAAGTCAAACAGAGCATTGGGTAGTGTGCTCCAAGTTTCGAATCTCTATGAAATGAACTATACATCCAGATTTTTATCTACATAAGATCATGTAAAATACCATAAATATGAAAACTTCTCAGCAAAGAGAGGAAAAGCCCAGGAGAGGAAGAGGGCTATCTACACTTCATGCTTTCAGTGTTCTTGAGATGTTCTCTGCTTACAATGAAAGCATCTGAAATGATTAT